GCCAGATAATTATGGCTAATCAATTACTTCTTGGTATCTGTATATATGGCCTCGGCGCCCAACAAACCGGACGGGAGGGAGTACTCAAAAGGCTAAATGAAGCTTCTTAGTTGGCCATTACACTCTTTACGAAACTATTCCCTACAGGAGAAAACTATTTGTACCAATGATGTGATTTATACTTATTCTGTTATGACATTCTTGTAAAATCAGCCCCTTTGGCTTACCTTATAATCCGCACTATTCAGCTTATTTTTTCAGCCGGAACAGTATTTTTCTCTCACAATAATTCAATCAGAATAGTGTTTTTCAGCCAATTCAGCCAAATTTCAGCAAGCCGAACGGGCCATTGTGCCGATCTACTTGTATGTGCTTCTCCTACAACCTTTAGCTGTCGACATGTGGTCTATACATCTGCAGGAACCTCAGTAATTTCTCTGATCTAATTTTCGATTCATAGATTTTGAATTGTGGTTCGAAGTTGTCTGTAGGTGCGGCAGTGCCGCTGTCCTGGCCCAGCCGTGCCGCGGGGTTGGAGCGGCAGCGCCGCGGGTCGAAATTGACATTTGTTCAAGTTTTGTTTTAACAGGCCTATTCAACCCCCCTCTAAATTAACCAGAGATCCTACATGGTGTTAAATATACAAAGGCCCATCTAGTATAGGCCCATATGGCCCATGTGACTCTCTATATGTATAGTTATCTCCACTAATGAAATGATCATCTTCTCAAATCCTAAAGGTCAGTAACAAGAGACAGGATGTGTGTGGGTGTGGGTGTGTGAGAGAGAAGGGGGGAGTGGGGTGGGGGAGGCTACATAATCAGCATGCTATCTCAATGGTCATCTCCCTGTCACATGATAAGCCGGTGGGAACATTAGAATTCTTGACTTAAACAACACATTTAACATTTTTAGAGCCCTAGGTGACATCCCCAGACTAGGGATCGGTAGTGTATCTTAAATTTTTACTCCTACAAGAACTGAATTTAAAAAAGGTAAAAGGAAAAATGTTTATACCTGAACATTACCACAACCCCTAGTGCCCAAGAAAATGTATGGTAGGAATGGGTGCAACTTAATTGTATGCTCTCCATTAGGTAATACCAACTGCTTCACACATTGAAGGTCGTTGCGTGCAACCCTCTTGATAATCGCCATATAATTCTTGAATGCAGCAACCATGTATTCACCTTTTATGCTCCCAGAAATAGAACATATCTTCACAAAACTCCTGTATCAATAGAAACGTTAAGGATCATACTTTGGATTACATTTACCATGGATATCAACAGAGAGATTCAGGACCAATAAAAGCAATTATGAGATGATGAAAAGGTTATGACTCACATAGTGAAAATAGCACTGGTAGCTATAGTTTCTGCCATTTATCACTTTCTTTTTGTGGATAAACACTATGATGCTCCCATGCTGATCACTAGCAGCCAACTCAGCAAACTCAGGATCACATTCCAAACATTTGACTGGACCTATGTCCTCAAATTTTCATTCATCCCTGAAGCTCCATTCAACCTTCAAAACCTCTTTACAGGACTCTTTCTGGTGGTGGATTCGAACTTTTTCTTGTGTTGCCACAGCGAGAACATTTCCAATATCATCACCAAAGGATTCAGGATTCTTATAGAGACTCTAGGCAACCATAGTTGGTGGGTAACAACCCTTTATCGCAAATTGGCAAAGAATCCATGTATGTTAGCGCCAGCTCCATGACCTAGAAAATTTGGTTGTTGAGGCAGTAAGATGAGGTAGCAGCTAGCCAATTAAAAACACTAAAGAACTTTCAAGGCGAGGCACAACATATAAATATCCTAACCTACCATAGCAAGTTAACACAACATTTTAGTGGCATAAACATATATTGATGCTGCCAACGAAGCTTGAAAAATACCTTCCAGTAACCAGTAACAGACATCACTAGTAAGCACTATGATTTAGTCATAGTATATACTAAATAGAGCAGCCAACAACTAATTCAGCAACAAAAATATATTAAATCCATAAGCACGGCACAAAAGGAGGAGGCGATCAACCTAGTTGGTTGTGGCAAGGAAATGATGCTCTAGGCGGTGTTCCTGGAACGGAGCAGGTGCGTACAGTCCACCCTGCTAGATCCTTTCGCCGCCCTCCTCACCCTTCCCCTCCAGATCCTTTCGTTGCCCCAGTCCTCCTCTGCTGCCTTAAAGAAGAATAGATCTAGGGTTAGAAGGAGAGAATTTGAGAACGAGAAGGGAGAGAAAAAACCATCCGAGAGATCGTACCTGCGGTGAGGCTCTGCACCAAAGGGAACGAAGCGAGAACTGGCGGTCGAGACCGGTCTAGACGTGAGAAAGCGGGAGCAAACTCGGTAGCGCCGGCGGCCGGCCTAGCATGGAGGCCATTTGGGGCAAGGAGAGACGAGTATCTGCCTTGCTGCGTGCGGGGGGCTCACCTTCCGACAGCTGTTGGGGGTTGTAGCTTCTACAAGCTAGTTAAACTTTATAATTTTAAAGTCTATCAATCTCCTTTCACGTATAATCTAATGTTTTCTTACACTTAATTTAACAATCTATTAATCCTACATCAACATTTCATATAGTCTAATCCAACATTTCATGGGTCCAGCTTGACTCCTGAATCCCTGATGCATGCTTTAACATTTTATTATAACTGATTCGGCAATTATTGATTCCTGACTCAACAGACTAGTTTAATATTTTGGTGTGTGTATTTTTTGGGCGGTCAGTAATAAAGTGGAACTGACGAATGTGAGGGCCCTTAATTTGTATTGCGGCGGCTGTGTGTATGTGGTCCAATTTGTTGTGGCGGTGGAGGGTGGTTAACGTAGTATACTTGCATAGGTTGGCGTGTTGAGATGGTTTGGTTTGGCATTTTTGTGTGATGAGTGGTGTTGTGGTGCAACGTATGACGGTCATCGCTACATAGAGCGTCGTGTTGAGGTGGTGCATCAGGACAAAGGGTGGTGGCATATAACATGTCAATGCGGTCGGAGGAATATAGAACTGACGATGATGTTGATGTGCAATGTTACGGTGACTTAACTTTGTGCTGCGTGGTACAATGTTATGGCAACACGATGCTAGCGGATGGTGGTCAACATGTATAGGACAACATGTTGAGGTCATTTGATTTGGTGTTATGTGAAGCGAGGGTGTCACGGTGCTGACAGCTGGTGATCGACACTATGACTTACTGAGGTGGCTTTTGTGTTCAGCGTGCTTGGAGTTGAGGTGTTGCGGTGGCGATGGATTCTCGATCGGTCTTTGCATAGGATGGCGTCTCTTGAGATGGCTTGGTTTAGTGTTGTGCGGTGTGGGACATGTAATGGTGATAGTTTGTGGCCAATCCTGCATGGGATGCCGTGTCGAGGTGGTATAATGTAATGTCATGGAGCGAGGGTGCGTATGATAGTTTTGGTGTTTGTAATAAATAACATAATAAGGTGGTTTGATTTAGCATTTTATTATGCGGTATGGTGATATTGTGGTGATAACCATAGAATTACCGATAAAGAATTAAACGCCACCTCACCATAGCTTTCTAACATAGACTAAGACATCTTTGTCAACGCTAAATGATGTCATGTCCGCCGATTTCAAAGAGTCTGTCTAGCCAACAAATGGTTGTTTTAGTCCCTCCTAACAACTGAATTTTTATGCACTTACAACGGCTCTTATAGCTTATTTATACCGCTTTATTACTATATTTATAATAATTTCTCCGGTGTAATTTATTGGACAATATGATGTAATTTAGAATAGCATAAATATATGCCATTTTTTCAAAAAAAATAAATAAATCATTTGTATGGATTCCGGACGATAGAGAAATATATGTTAAATTATTCGTAGAATTAAAAAAAATACTTCCGTTGCAACCAGATTCTCACGGTGATCGACGACGAGGACGACCGGTGCTGCCCGGCGTTCGCGGGGGACGACTACACCGAGAGCCAGGACCTGCCCGCGGACGTCCTGGCGCTCGTGCTCCGCCGCCTTGACGGTGCGTCGCTGGCCGCGCTCGGCTGTTCGTGCGCCGCCTTCCGCGACTCGCCGCTGACCCGACCGCCTGGCGCGCGCTCTGCCTCGCGCTCTGGCCCTCGCTCCGCGACGTGCCCCCGTGCTGCGACGTCGACGCGAAGGCCCACTATCACCGGCTGCCGTAGGGTTCCCCATGGCCGGACGCCAGCTACCTCCTAGGGCCCGACGCTCAAAAATTCGGTCGACAGAGGCTCATGAATCAACCGGTTGACGTACAGCACTTCTCAATTTGAAACGATGATACCATTTATTAAAGTAGCAGCATTTTCGCGAGAGTTTTACAGAAAATCAATCTATCGGATTTCGGCTCCGTTAGCTTGAGCTTATAAGTTAGATGAGCTTATAAGTCAGAATCAGTCTTACTTTTTTAGTCATGCAACAGTATTTTTCTCTCATAACAAATCAATCCTATAAATAAACCGTAGCAACGATAAGTCCTGCCGAAGCTGATCAATTTACAGATGTT